GTTGGAGCTAAACTCTGCAGGACACCGGCCCTCCGGGACCGAGTTTGGACAGCCCTGTCCTACAGGTTTGAATTGAAATAAGAGTGAATAAATTATGAACATTTTAATTTTTGTGCAAACCGTTTTTTTCTTTAAGGTGAAGATCTGCTGAGCTTCAATCTCAAGCTGGAATGTTCTGAGCATGGAAACCCAGAGAAGCACAGAGACAGACAACATTCTGAAACTGACGAGCCAGTATGAGGTTGCTGCCGCTTGCAATAAAGATGATGGCGAGCAGAACAAACGGGGAAAAAAAGATGAGTATTGCTTTTGGTCAAGTGTATCTGATTTTGATCTAGTTACCTTTTCAGTAAAAATGCACTCATCTTTCACTGATAAGTAAAATAATCTAATTTTAAGTTCTGATTTGCGGCCACACTTCTGCTGTCAGTGATGAAAGCCCCTTTACAATGGCTCTTATTGGATCTGGTTTTCAGAATGAATGGTCACAGCACAATTAATGGTCTGAGTTAACCTGACTAGATGTGATGCTCCTGCTTTTTGGGAGTCTTCTTCTGTGCAGATGAATTTTATGATGCAAGTGTAATATATGATGCAATATAATTCCCAACAGATGAAAGGAAACATTTTTATTTACGGGGGAATCTCATGAAACCCTAACCTTTCTAGTCATCGCCATAGGACAATCTCATTTTTATTACTATAATAATAAAAAACAGACAAACAAAATTCTCATTACTGGAATAGGGGAAAATATATAATTTACATAGTAAAATGTTTACTCAACAGCATTTTTAGTTGTATTTGTTGCACTGCCCTTTATTTATATTTATTTAAATATTAAAATTACAATATATCTTTTTAACAAAATATGACTTGAATCATTTTTTGATTTTAGGGTGAAATGATCTGGACATGTTTTCTTGAAATTCACTCATAAGAAAAAAAACATAATGTAATAAACAAATAACATAATAAATATTCAATATAATAATTATAAGTATTCTTTAATGTTAAGCACCGGCACTGCCGTTTATTTTATTTTAAATGAATGCATTAAAATACTTGTGAATTCAAATTTAAAAAAACAGACATAAAGAAATAGTTTTAAGGTCACACATTCTCACATTTGCGCTGTAAGGTTTGTAATGAATCTGAGTGTCTCCCAGACACTGGACTAAAAACACTGGGGTGTTTATATAATGCTCTTCTATAATAACATATCTCATCTGTCAGTCATTTTTATAAACATACCAAAAGCAGGAGTGACTGTCCTTCCTTCTTGTTGAGTAACCAACAGCCGCTCTTGAGTAACAGAGACTGAAGGCCAAAGGTCAGATAGACTGTATACTAAATTATTTTATTCATTTGTTAACTGTTTGTATTATTTTAAATGTATTTTTCATTTAAATGCTGCCTGGACAGTGTCTGATATCTTTCATACATATTTTTTGCACTTTGTGTGTTTTACGTTAAACTTGATTAATAAACCACAATTTGTGTTAATAAAATAACCACATTTTTAAAAATATTTTGAAGTTTTATGATGAAATTTAATACTTAAGATCAGGAGTTCCTAAATGGAAGTATGAGCAATAGTAATGCTTTGCATGCACAAATAATTAGACAATTTAAATTATATTGTTTTCTGATGACAGCTGAAAAATGTACAGCGGAACTCTCTGTGAGTAGCAAGAAGGAAGAAAGTGTTGGGTATCGAAAGTGC